TGCCAAAATATAAATCTACATGAAAAGTAGAACAGACTCAAACAGTCTTAATTCTAAATATTGATGTGATTTTTTTAAAAAAATTTAAATACAGCTGAAAATATGACTTAAGTGGTAGAGCACTTGCCTAACAGGGCAAAAACAGGCCATAAAACAAAATGACAATAACAACAACAACCACCCAAAAAAAAAACCTTGAAAAGTTCTAAATCATAAAAGAAATGAGAGGCGAAAACTGACTAATAAAAACAGAGCTTGAACAATTAAATTTTACAGAGATATGAGCTGGCCCAATCTGTTGTAGAATAGATAATGAACGAAGATGCTGTATGAACATACATTTCTTCAGGAGATCCTCCCAAAAGAATACATAAACAATAGTTAAAATATTAGCCTCGGTGCTAGTGGCTAATGCCCATAATCCTAGATACTCAAGAGGCTCAGATCTTGAGGATCCAGGTTTAGAGCCAGCCCTTGCAGACAAATCCAGGAGACTTTTCTCTAATTAACAAGCAAAAAGCAGACAGTGGAGGTGTGGCTCAAGTGGTGGAGTACTAGCCATGGATAAAAAAACAAAAGTTGAACAAGAATACAAGGCCCTGAATTCAAGCCCCAGGTTAGTGTTTAAATCATCTTGGAATGTAACAGATCATTAGAAAGATATTTAAACAGCAAAATTTTTAAGCTAAATTTCCACTCTTCCACTGTTTGTTATTTTGTAAGCACAAAATGAAGTTTTCCTTAATCTGGCAAATATTTTGTTTCAGTAGTGCAGATAAAAGCAAGATAGACACACAGAAAGAGAGGGAGAGAATGGGAAATGTTCAAGTGGAAGCTAGTGTTAAGTGAAAGTCTTGTTCCAGATGTCCTCAGGATCCACTCTCATGTACTTATTCCCTGATAAGTTACTCATCTTTCTTGCTTTATTCTGTAGAATGTCTATACTTCCTACAAAAATTGCCATTTGAGCTTTCTAATTGCTCCTAAAGACATAATAGAAAACTGTCTTGATTATAGAGTTCATAGGTAAAGGAAGCCTTGTTCAACCACAACTCAAGCAAAGGCTTGACATAAATCAGGCTATCTTCAGTGCTAAAATTTCAAGTTTCTCCCAGACCACATGATTGGTTTTAGTTAAATTGATTCATTCTACTGTCCTAAGTGTATAGATCTGTGTGTGTGTGTGTGTGTGTGTGTGTGTGTGAATTCTGGTTCACCAACATTTCCCAGAAAATGAATTAACTAGAAGACATCATCCTCTGAACATTTCACTTAGCTCAAGTGTTCTTTATGTGAAAGCAATAAAACTATATTTCACTTTTAGAAAGGCTGTAACAAGCTAGTATTATATATATATATATATATATATATATATATATATATATATATATATATAATTATTTCTTGTACAGAATGAGTTCATTGTATAATAACCATTGACAGATGGGCATATTAAGGGATACTTTGCTTCGTTCCGTAGGATATATGATAAAGAACATGTTTGGCCCCTGTTATAAGTAAAAGCATATATGTAAGTACAATAGAAACATATATTTCAAGAAGTATTTCAGTGAGTCCCACAAAAATCCAGAAGCCTTTATATGCACTTTTCAAAACAATAAATATATTTCTCTTTGGCCCTCAATAACTTTTTAAGGAGATTGCCTTTTGGTCACTGGCCCCAAAAATATCCATTCTAACAGGCCTCTTCCCATTTTGAGATTCCAAGAACTTGTAGGCTAGCTAACAAATACTTTAAAAACTGTCTACAGTCTTTTAAGCAATATATAACAGCATATAACATGCAGCTAAATATTCCTGTATGCTAAAGAACTAATGAGCAGTGCTACTATTATAAAAGACAGTCTTTGTGCCAATAACTCTGGATCAAAGGCATGACACTTACTTTCACTTCTCAATAACAAAAGCTACTGTCTTCTCCTAAACTAAGATTATCAATAATAAGCAGTGCAAAAGTAATTCATTTATCTTACAATAAAAATAAAAATGAAAGGAGCCAGATGTATATATACACCAGAATTTCCTTCAAATAATTTCAGGTCATCAAGTTTGGTGAGGATATAAATGAAATCATCATATATAATATACAATTCATGGGAAAAGCTGAAAAACTAAAGCTGGACATAGCTATTCTCTGCATCCCAGAACTTCCACCCAACATAAATACATAACTACTGCTCTGGAAGATATGTTTAGAAGAAATTATATTGGTATTATTCATTATAGCCGCAAACTGAAAACAATGGAAGCTGTAGAAGGGACAAATTATAGGGATTATACACTGGATATAGTTACAGCTATGAAAGAAAAAATACTACATACTAGGGATAACGTCGAACCAAAGAATCCAGAGACAAAAGACTATCATGTTATATAATTCCATATTTATGAAGTTTAAAAACAGACAAGTTTTGGGGCATAGTGGTGCATACCTACAATCCCAGGACTAGGCAGGTAAAGACAGAAGGACTGCCAAGTTTGAGAGCAAGACACTGTCTCAAGAAACCAAGAATTTAAGGATAGAATGCTTGCTTAGCGTGTACAAGGCCCTCAGTTCCACTCCAGCATGGGGGAAAAAAAATAAAAGGAAGGGGGAGAAAGGTAAACTTCATTGATAGCATACCATCCATTAAAGATGACCTTTGGCAGAGGGGGAAGCTCCAGAACAGGGCACTGGAAGGCTACAAGTTGTGAGTAGTTAAAATGATACATTCATTTAATAACAGTTCATTGAGATTTGTACTTAAGATCAATGCAGAGCAACTGTGTTATTCATGAATTTGAATAGTTCTTTTTAAAGAAGGAAAAGTAAGATTCATTGGAAAATCATATCCCTCTCTCCCTTACATTACAAAATTAAGTTTTTGTTTTTTATTTGTGGTTTTTATCTGTATGTTTTGCTGGTTCCATAGTTTGAACTTGGGGCCTGTGTTCTCACTTAGCTTTCTTGCTCAGAGATAGTATTCTAGTCCCATCTCCAGCCCCACATTTTGTTGGTTAATTGGAAATGGAATCTCTCAGACTTTCCTGCCCAGGCTGATTTCAAATTGTAATCCTTCAACCTCAGCTTTCCTAGTAAGCTAGTATTACAGGCATGGGCCACTGGCACCTGACTAGCATTTTAATTTTCTTAATGACTTATTTTCTTTTTCAGTCACTGACTTAGGGTTAAAAGATTTGTTTTTTTATTCTACATATAGAATTTTTGCACATGAATGATGACAGTACTAAGTGTTTATGGTTTATCTTATGTTACATGGGAGCTTCATTAGCAAGGAAAAAGACTGAAAAGACTTAGACCCCTCGAAGCAAATTGTGATTTGTTTTCATTGCAGATCACAAACATATATAAATATCATCCTCTTACCATAGAGTAAGTATAAAATGCTTAAATTTTAACTATAATTCTACTCTTTGCTCATATTTAGATGCTTCTGAAAAGAGTATATCATAATTATATTTGCATACATAAACTTTTTTAGCTGTGTTAGCCGAGTGCCAATGACTCACGCCTATAATCCTAGCTATTCAGAAGGCTGAGATCTGAGATTGCGGTTCAAAGCCAGCCCGGGGAGGAAAGTCTGTAAGACTCTTATCTCCAATAAACCATTAGGAAACCAGAAATGGCACTGTGGCTCAAGTGGGTAGAGTGCTTGCCTTGAACTGAAATGCTGAGGGACAGCATTCAGGCCCAGAGTTTAAGTCCCACAGCCAACAACAACAACAAAAAATTAGCTGTGTTTTACTTCTGTATGTTTTGTTTTATAACAAGGTCTTCCTATGTAGTGCAGGCTGGCCTTGAACTTGCTATGCAGCCCAGACTGGCTTCAAATTTACAATCTTCCTGCTTTAGCCTCCAAACTGCTGCACTAACTTCTTCTCACTTCTTTTTTTTTTAATTATTTTTTTTGGGGGGGTCCGATCGTGGGGCCTGAACTCTGGGCCTGGGCACTGTCCCTTAGTTCTTCAGCTCAAGGCTAGCGCTCTACCACTTGAGCCACAGTGCCACTTCTGGCTTTTTTTTTTCTTTTATGTGATGCTGAGGAATCGAACCCAGGGCCTCATGCATGCAAGGCAAGCGCTCTACCATGAGGCCCTGGGTTCAATTCCTCAGCACCACATAAGCAGAAAAAAGCTGGAAGTGGCACGAGGCTCAAGTGGTAGAGAGCCTTGAGCAGGAGAGCTGAGGGACAGTGCCCAGGCCAGAGTTCAGGCCCCATGACCAACAACAACAACAACAACACACACACACGCACACGCACACACACACACACACACACACACTGGTAGGATGTGTTAAATTATTTGTGTTGGTTGGGATATTGCAGTTCTTTACAATTTAACTTTCCTCTCAGTCCATCTGGCCTGGGTGTAAGTTATTGTGGCAAAGCATTATATGAAGCTACCTTTAGAAAAGAAATTCAGAAGTTTTGAATGTAAAGATCAGAGAAATTTGTAGGATACAAGATGTTCACGTTGTACTGTGTTCAACTGTTTCCATTTGCACACTATGTCACGGAGATCTGGAGAAGCAGATTCCTTTCCAAAAGCAAAAATCACGTTTTCTCTGGGCTTACAGACAGTGCTAACAAGTTCAAGCTGATTATTTTGTTACCTAATAAATTTTCTAGGAGCACTGTGACAGCAAATCCATATGAAATGCATCTTTATTGTCTTTCCAGATCTTGAACTTTTCTCCAGGGGTTCATTTGCATACTGTCTTCCTGTTTGTATGTCCTTCGAGTGAGTTCATTTTATCCTCCCATATGTTAAAATAATTAAAGCTGACAAAATCCACACAAAGGGTCTTTCTTTCTCAGTAGAGCAGAAACCAATGCATTTATGCATTTGTGTTCATGCAGAACCATTTCTATTGAAAAGATCCCTGGTGTGCTTCCTGTTAGTGGTGCACCAAGTATGTCAGAGACTCTGAAGAATTAATTAAAGATCTGTGTGTATGTATTTGTATGTCACTGTAGGCTAAAGGTAAAGAAAGACAGTGGCTCAGACACCAAGCTACTGGAGAACTTGATGATGCCAAGATCATTGATGGGCTGACTGGAGAAAAAGCCATCTACAAACGCCGCGGTGATTTGGAGCCACAAGTAAGTTAATGGCAGCCTTGGACCTTCTCTATAGAAACATTATAGAACTTGTCTTCTTGGGTTCAGTCAAAACACCCTTAATCCAGAATAGACAACCACAGAAAGCAGTACATTAAAAGGGGGCGGGGTTTAGTGAGGTGCTAAGAATTCCAGAGCTACTCAGGAGGCTGAGATTTGAGGAACAGTTCAAAGCCAGCCCAGGTAGGAAAGTCTGTGAGACTCTCATCTCCAATTAAGCACCAAAAAGCCAGAAATGGAGCTGTAGTTCAAGTAGTAGAGCACTAGCCTTAATCCAAAAAAGCTTAAGGACAGCACCCAGGCTCTGAGTTCAAGTTCCAGGATTGGTACACACACACAGAGGAGGAGGAGAAGGAGGAGGAGGAGGGGGAGGAGGGGGGGAGGAGGAAATAATAAATATAGGGAAAATATAAGTTCAAATCTCAGCAAGGGGGCTGGGAAGGTAGCTCAGTGGTAGAGTGCTTGCCTTGTATGCATGAGGCCCTGGGTTCAATTCCTCAGCAGAAAAAAACTGGAAGTGGCTCAAGTGGTAGAGCACTAGCCTTGAGCTGAAGAGCTGAGGGACAGTGCCTAGACCCAGAGTTCAGTCCCCATGACCGACAAAAAAAAAATCTCAGCAAGGCACATAATGCACACTCTAACTGGGTAATTAAGGACAATTCAGCACAAAAACTATCCACAGATGTAAAGGCAGGGTTTAGGAAAACCCAGGAGATTCAGTGTGGTAACAGAGAAAACAACAATAGGGTACTGACCCCGTCCCAAGGTCTAAGAGAGTAGAGACTGGTACATGAAGAAAGTAGCTCACAGATCTTGGGTAGAGGGCACTCCTGTCCCCAGGCAACAGCAGGGAAGGAGCTATGGGAACAAGTACCCCAGCCTCACATACTGACAGTGCCTGCCATCACCAAAACCCTCCAGAACCCAGCAGCCAAGAAAGCTACCGAAGTGGCCCGTCCAGATCCACCCCTGGGACTCAAAGAAGATGTCCTCTTGTATAAAACCCAGACAATTCCTAAGAATACAGTACAGTGATCTTGGTTTTCCACAGTTCTATAATTTTAAAGATCAGTGTTCATCATATGTCTTCAGAAATTTTCAAGAAATAAGAAATTCTCCCTTAAGTAACTCTAATTTTAGTAAGTAAACTTTTAGAAAGCCATAATTTAAAACAATTTTCCACACAATGACAATCGGGTGAAAAATGGAATCTCTTGATGAGCTTTGAGATCTCCTATTGTACTGAACATAACCAGAATTGCTGCGTAGCTGCTGTGGGTTGGGGTGCAGTAACTGGTGGGGGCAGGGAGAGTCAAGTCTATTTAAATGTTTACTCAGAGAAGGTCTGGTGGTAATTTCAGGAGCTCTTAGTTTTGTGTCATTGGTATGAGTCAGCAACTGCTTTCTTTACTGACTCATTGTGGTCAACAAATTGTTTGGATGCATCTGGAATTGTGAGTCCTTGTAGAAGCATGTGTGGCACCATTGTTCATTTGGGCAGACTCAACAAGTTTTAAAGAACATACCGCATTTCCTTCTTCAAGACAGCCTCTAATAACCCACAGTACTTTCTCCAAATTACTGGCTCTGCTCATTAGTTTTCATGCATGTCAGCAAGTATATAAGAACAAACTAATATGGATTGTTTTTTCTCATCCTTTTGTGTGTGTGTGTGTGTGTGTGTGTGTGTGCGCGCGCACGCGCCAATATAACTGACAAACTTTGTTGAAAAATTCTTTGCCTTGGTTTGTTGTTGTTGTTTTTGTTGGTCATGGGGCTTGAACTCTGGACCTGGGTGCTGTCCCTCAGCTCTTCAGCTCAAGGCTAGCACTCTACCACTTGAGCCACAGCACCACTTCCAGTTTTCTAGTAGTTTATTGGAGATAAGGGTCTCACGTACTTTCCTGCCCAGTCTGTCTTTGAACCTCGATCCTCAGATCTCAGCCTCCTGAGTAGCTAGGATTTCAGGGTGAGCCACCAGCGCCCGGCTTCAGTTTCAGGCTTTAATGGTTACTTCCATGACTTTAGCTGCTGGTGAAGAAGGAAGAGTAAAAAAGCAGCAATACAGTAACTGAAAGAAAAATTGAAAGCTCACAAAGGATAAAAGACATTTAAAAAATATTTTCCTCTAGTTCTTTGCCAGACCCCCTATCTTATACCCTTGTTTTAGAAATCTGGCATTTCTTCAACATATGTGGAAAATGATTTTCAAGTGACTGCAGAGCAGGTACAAGTAAAATTGATGTGGGCTTCCCTCCAAAATAACATAAGCTCTTGCCAGTTACTGACTGAGGCAAGGAGTGAAAATGACATGTTGGCCTTTATATCTTTCCAGATTATTATTTTTAAAACAGATTATTTTTAAGTCATCAGACTCCAGAAAGCAACTTTACTAGACTAGACCAGACCTTGGAAGGACTATATTCCACAGGAAAATCACTTCCATATGTCCTGACTATACTGAAATTTCACTTACTGAAATACAATCCATGGACACCTTTCCCCCTGTCAGACAGGCTCGAGCAGGGGGTGCTCCTATGGCTGAACTGCCTATTTCAGGGCTGGCACCCTAGAACCTTTGAGAGAGCCCAGAAACCCTGGGCAGCATCCAATGCTGGGTTTCTAGTTCTCAAGCTTTGTTTGTCATTCCTTCCTTCAGCTGGGCAGCCCACAAGAGAAACCCAAGCGCCTCCGCCTGGTGGTGGATGTGTCTGGCAGCATGTATCGCTTCAATGGGGTGGATGGCCGGCTTGAGCGCTCAATGGAGGCCGTGTGCATGGTCATGGAAGCTTTCGAGAACTATGAAGAGAAGTTCAAGGTAATTGCAGGAGCTGAGGATGATGAGGTGTCTTGACTGCATCTGCCTGGGGGTGAACCCTGAGTTAGAGCATGGTGATGGTAGATAATCATGATATCAGATACAGAGGTGGGGAATCTTTTTTTTTTTAATGTACCAGGAGCCATTTGAACATTTGTCACATCATTCATGGGCCATATAAAACTATTAGCACAGACAAATGGCCACAGGCAACTGGTAAGGAACTGTGCTGTCATTTTCCAAACGATATCTTGAGCCTTACATAGCCCACAGGCCAGACATCCTCACCCTGCTGGACTGACAAAAATCATCCTCTTACCAGCTCATTTAGAGAACATGAGCCTTTTGCTTTATCTGCTCTAATAATTTAAAGGGCTAATGGCTACTGAAGAAAGCACCACTTCTTACAAGTCGTGTGATTTTAACCATGGAAGCATAGTCTCTTTCCAGATTTCTCAAACACCCATCCTCATCCTAACAGCCACTATTGCCCCATTGCCCTCTACACAACCTTCTGGTGCAGCCTCAGAGCACACAGCCCCAGCATCACTTTTCCTTTCCACGTGGACAAAGGCTGCACAGTAATTGGTGTCTCTGCAGCTGACAGTGAAGATACCTCCCAACCCTACCCCCCTGCCCAGGAGTAAAGCAGTCTCCTATTTAAGCTATTCCCATTTTGTTGTTGCTCAGTTTGTTTCACACCTTTCCTTTCAGTTCTGAGCGTGAAGAAAGGATCCCCAGATTGTTATGTTCATATCCAACATGAACCTTCTAATCTGTTCCCCCTCAGCTGCTGAGAGTTAACTGCACCTGTAGTCCTTACCAGAGCACATGACCTTGAACTTAGTCCCATACTGTGTAATTATCAGCAAACATTCAGTAGAGAGAAATGTTGTGGGTGCAACTGTGTGTAAAGAACACCACCTGTTCATAGACACTAGATTATATTTTGGATCAAAGATGTCCTTCAGGAACAGGTGATCTTAGATTACTATTCAGACTCACATTCCCCTTGTACCTCAGGAATGCTTCTGATGGTTCTATATTATGCTACATACAAGAAACAGATAGAAAGGATCCAGCAGTTCATTTACTTTAAGTTTGTTATTAAGGATTCTGCCCACTAAGTCTCCTAGAGTCGCTTGTATGAAGTTCAACAAGAAAAAGTCCTTTTAGAATCAGTTGAAGGGAAAGGGCAGCCTTAGGCAGTGAGTGCCACAGGCTGCAGACTCTGCACCACTGCAAGATTCAAATACAAATAAGATATGGACATTCACCATGAGGCGTAGCTCTGTGAAGGAGCAGTAGCTCTGTTCCTCGTGACTAGTGAACACCACAGAATTGTTCAGAATTCCTTCTTGGTACTAGTTGCCAGGAAGCTAAGAGCCAATACCAAAGACCATTGTGGCAGTCTTATAATGAACTTGAAGCCTGGTATACCTTCCCTTGGCCCTTTCTCTCCCTCTTTATATTTCAATCTCCTTGGATTTATATTATTCACTTTTTTATGTTTTATGAGTCAAGGGAAAATGTAAATATATATATATGTATATATATATATATGTAAACTATTTTAGCTCCTTTTTAGCACAGAGTAGTAGAATATTATTCTTTTTTTGGGAGGGGGGTCCAGTCGTGGGGCCTGAACTCTGGGCCTGGGTGCTATCCCTCAGCTTTTCAGCTCAAGGCTAGCGCTCTACCACTTGAGCCACAGCGCCACTTCCGGCTTTTTTCTTTTTGCTTATGTGGTGCTGAGGAATCCAACTCAGGGCCTCAGGCATGCAAGGTAAGCGCTCTACCACTGAACCACCTTCCCAGCCCTAGAATATTATTCTTAACTCATTTGGGCCACCCATAACCACTGAGTGAATAGGTATCATTGTATGTTGTATATATTGTGTATAAATAGCCAGATGCCACTGAGTGTTTACAAGTATTTGAGTTTAGGCCTGGTACCAGTGGCTCATACCTGTAACCCAAGCTGTTCAGAAGGCTGAGACCTGAGGATCCTGGTTAGAAAGCAGCCCTGAGCAGGAAAGTCCATGCCACTCTGATCGTCAATTAACCACACACACACACAGAGACACACACACACACACAAGCAGAAGTGGAGCAGGGCACCAGCTTTAAGCACAAAAGCTCAAGGACAGTGCTCAGGCCCTGATTTCAGGTAGATACCTTTGCATGTGTGTGCGCACATGCGCGCGCGCACACACACACGCACACACGCACGCACGCACACAATCTGGGTTTTTCCACTTGCAACAGCATCCTAAGAGCTTCTGCAGGCTGTCCTTCCCTCCCAGCAGGCACATTGGAGACTTGGTATAATATTCCAAACCATGTCTGAGACTTGATTGGCCACAGGGCCCCATCTCCATTAGGGTCCCCAGAAGTTTCTAGAGGACAGAAAGGAAGTAGGATGGAACGAGTCACACCCTATGAAAATGTTTACCGTTTCTGATGCAGTGTTTAGGGTACACGTAGCACAAAGTGCAAGAGGTATGAAAAGGAGGGAGAACTCCCAGATCCCCTCCCTGCAGGTGATCACAAAAAGAAAAATCAGTGGATTTGGGGGATCTTCTTAGAGGAATTGGGTGCATATAGATCAGGTGACTGTGTACCATAAACTTTGCTCTGCATTCTTAGTCTATATGACTTCATTCCTAATGTATCTGTTCTTCTCTGCACTTTCAGTTTTTCATTTGTGAAAGAGGTGAAGGATTAGAAATATCTAATGAAAGGGTGTCATTTACTCAGAAAATATAGATCAGTGTACCTGCAGAAGACAGTTGAAGAGCTCTTGTGAAATTTTTATATCCCACAACCAAACATGGCATGTCTCCTAGTGTCTTCAGGATTCAACAGCGTGTGCTGAGACTGCCCATCCCCAGTTTCAGGCCGCGGTTGATGTCCTCCTGCAGTTACCCTTGGCTGTAGAGGTGTCTGGTCTGTATTGGAAGCCTCCAGTAGCCCCTGGCTGGCATGGTGAGCCGAGCTCTCCCCCACGCCCCAACTCTCTAGGCATCTGCTGTGTTTTGTTTGGCGGGAACTCAGTGGCTGAGCTGTGGTCATTACAGTCTACTCACTTGGGGTCTGCCCCCTCTTCTTTTCCACATTCACATGGCCCATGCCAAACCACAGGGTTTGAGCAAGAATTAGTGAGAGGGAAAGGTAATTCAATGGCAAAGCACATTTCTGAGCCATTTTGTGTTTTTGAAGGTTCTCATAATCATTCTACCATCCAAATTCAGTCATTCCCACAAGGGCATTCACTTAGGACAAAAGCAACATCATTTGCCTAGAATCAGCAACAACTCCTCTAAGCTTATAATGAGCATAATTGTTCATGTTCATATAGCTCCTAGAACTACAATGAAAGGTGGAGAAATAATGGTTATATGAAACCACTTTGTTTTAGTCACAAAGCATTTATTCTCTTTATTTCACTTTAATTTGCTGCTCATGATTTTTGCCGAGCCCTTGGGAATATTTTCACTGTAATCTTAAAATAGATCTCCTTTCAAAAGCTCTTAATGCATTCATATTTTTTTTCTTCAAAGTACTAAAAAATACCCAAAGTTTGGTGACTCTCTTCTAACACAGATTTGTTCCATTATTCAAAAATTGGACTTTAAAAAATGAAAAGGCCTTAACTGTGTTGTTTCTATAGAAGCATATAAACCAGTTCCACAAGGAACCCTGCAAAGGGGGGGGGGCTCAGAAGAATGGGCAGGACTTTACCCCGCTCCCCTCCTCGATCCTTCCTAGACAGCTGCTTTACCACAGCGGTCACTCCTCCATCTTTTTTTGTGTCTGTTACTTTCTTAGATAAGGTCTCATTTTATCCCAGTGCTTTCTTTTTTGAAAAGATGTCATCCTCACTTTTTTTAGTTGACTTACAGTTCCCTAGACAGGTGAGAACAAAGTATAGGTGTTTCTAAAACTAAGGAAAGCCAGCATTCCCTTATAGTTCTTGATACACCATTGACTTTCCATAGAAATGCCATAGCTAGTCCCTTGTGGATAGGAGTGACCCTGAGAATCATCTTTACCAAACTCTCTTTTGCAGATATGAAAATCAAGATTCAAAGTAGTTAAGTGCTTAGCCCAAAGTCACACAGGTAGACTGAAAAGCCAGGGCTTCCAACCCCACTTCTACACTCCTTAATTGTTTTCTCTGTATTTATTACAGTTGTTTTATTTCTATCCATTCTGTATTTTTTAACTGTAATTTAGAACTAAACATACTTTTTGTTTAAGATGGGGTCTCATGCAGCTCCAGCTTAGCCTCAGATTTATGATTCAGAAGTATCAACCTTCTGAATGCTGGATTACAACAGTGAATTATTATTCCTGGCAACAAATATCCACTTACATTTCTATATTTTCCTGTTCTCAGCATCTCTCCATCCAAAAGCAGTATAATAGATTTTATTTTTTCCCCAAGATGTTTTGGTCAAGAAAGCTGGGTAAGCCAGGCACCAGTGGCTCATGCCTATAATCCTAGCTACTCAGGAGGCCGAGATCTGGGGATCATGGTTCAAAGCCAGCCCAGGCAAAAAAGTCTGTAAGACTCTTACCTCCAATTAACGACCAGAAAACCAGAAGTGGCGGCTCAAGTGGTAGAATGCTAGCTTTGAGCTGAAGAGCTGAGGGACAGCGCCCAGGCCCAGAGTTCAAGCTCCACGACTGACAAGAAAGAAAGAAAGAAAGAAAGAAAGAAAGAAAGAAAGAAAGAAAGAAAGAAAGAAAGAAAGAAAGAAAGAAAGAAAGAAAGAAAGAGGAGGAGGAACGGAGGGAGGGAGAGGAGGGAAGGAAGGAAGGAGAGAAGAAAGGAAGAAAAAGAAAGCTGGGTAAGTTCCAGAAGCCATGGGAAGGTATGACTCTCACAAACTGACACCTGCTATCTGTCAAGAACTTAGTGTGGTGTCTATAATTATTCTCTTCCCAGTACCTCAGGAATGTTTCATAGGTTTAAAAATGGACTAGTGATCCTGTCAGGCTTAAGCTTTGAATAAAGTCTTATGGCTACTTAAAGATAGGCTCAAAGATCATCTTCCTGAACCCATGCAAAGATAAACAAAATTTCAAAATTGACTCAATTGTTAATGTAGAAATATTGGCCAGGCCAGCCATTCAAAAAGCTTAAGTACAGATGGAGGAGTAATTGGGGCATTATTTTTGATAGTAAATACATTGAATTTAGAGTCAGAACACATGAATTTGGCATCCATGTGTGCCACTAACTCTATGACCTCAAGTAAAGTTTCCTCATTGTGAAGTGGAGGGATACCTGCACCAAAGGTTGTGGGGAATCAAAATGAGGTCACTTTGTATGAAAACACTTTGTATACTGTGAAGAACTGTACAGATGTCAAACATTGTAATCACTAAATGTATTGCCCTTTCCTTGAAATGTCCTTGGGACATTTCAGGTTATCCTTAATTACCAGAGAGGCCAAGTGATTTATAAACATGGGATGTCCGAGGTCATGTAAGCCAGGATAGGAAAGAGCCTTGGAGAGGTTAAGTGACTTGCTCTAGATCAAAAAGCTTGTTAATGTCAGAGCCATACCCAGCGTCTTTGACCTTTCAGAGCATTATTCATTTTATATTGACGTGTATGACATAAAGAAAGGCTAGCCAGGTAGAACTATAGATTATTACCTAGCTAATACCCTAGGGTTCGGTTGGCACTTCCCTTGACCTTTTAAATCGCACACTTATCTTCAGATTCCTTGCTGCCTAATCAATAATGCCATTTTAGAATGGCATATTTAGGTTTTAGAACAGTTTGAGTTGATTTTTGTTAGCTAGCTTGGGCTGACTACCATTGAGCATGTGATCCTGAGGCAGATCAGTGTGTTTCAGCCTCCAGATTAGTTGTTAAAATATGTAGACCATAGGCAAAAGGAAAGCTGCGTCTTGCTCCAACTTGATTGCAAAACTCTCTTGGAGAATTTGTGCAATAAATATGCATAGACCCTAAAAATGCAAAGTTGAATCTGATCTGGACTGGCCTTCAAAGGCTCACCATTTCCAAAGGAGCAGATGTGCAAAGAAATGGTTGTATTTCCTCATATGGCTGAGTGTGCTCTTTGTACAGTTACTGTTCGAAGGTAACTCATGGTAAGTTGGAAGTATTAGTGATGTTTATACATTTCATCCCCTAAAATCCCAAATGCTCCCCAAAGTCTTTTGCCCCGTATGCACACCTCATTCTTCACAGATGCCCCAGTTGCCCAAGAGCTTTCATATCAACATCATGGAAGTTCTTTGAGGGGAAAAAAAGAACAGAGGAATTTGGGAGAGGGCAAATTCAACAGTGAGAGGGAACCGCCTTCTTTCAAATGCAGTTTAGCTGAAATTCTTCCAGATTCTCTAAAAGAACTATATCTGATTTCTAGCCCTTCGGCTTTTCTCAGTAAGACAAGACTTCCTGTGTGCACACAAAATAAAGAATTAATGGCAGTTCTACAATGCCCTGTTATCAGAGATTGTGCTTAATGAGATTATGGGGAGCTTTAACTTTTATGGGTTTTAGAAGGAACTATCATGTATTTATTTTGTTGTGAACCAATCACTACAACCATAGTACCTTCTAATAAAACCCATTAACGAACTCTTCGTATCTGTAGGTCAGAAGTCCAAGCAAGTCCCGTTAGGGTATCTGCTTAGGGTCTTACACTGTCAGCTGTACTGAATTCTTATCTGGAAGCTCTGATAAAGGACCTGCTTGCAAGCTCAACTTGGCTGAATTCTTTTCCTCATGATTATAGACAGAGATTCTTTGTTTCCCTTCCAGTCTCATCTGGGTGGGATTGTTCTCTATTACCCATGGTCCCCTCCATCTCGTTAGAGATGCTTCCTCACATCAGATCCCCCTCACACCTCCAATCTGTCTTACTCTTCTGCCACCAACCAGAAAATTTTAAAGGCTTCTAAAAACCTTTTTGGGACTGGGGGCTAGTGGCTTATGCCTATAATCTTAGCTACTCAGGAGGCTGAGATCTGAGGATCACAGTTTGAAGCCAGCCCCAGCAGGAAAGTCTGTGAGACTCATCTCAATTAAGCAGAAAAGACAGGAGCTATGGCTCCAGTGGTAGAGAACTAGCCTTGAGCAAAAAAGCTCAAGGGCAGTGCCTAGGCCCTGAGTTCAAGCCCCAGGACAGGTTACACACACACACACACACACACACACACACACACACACACACACACACACACCATATCTGATTAGACCACCTAGATTATCTCCTTTTCAATTAACTCAAAGAAAAGCAAACTTAATAATATCTGAAAAATATGTGTTCAGTTAGCATAATCTGGATGATCCATTGGATTTACAAGTCCTGCCTAACCTTATGGGGAGAAGATCATAAAGAACATTGGCACTGGTGGTTGGAATCTTGAGGGCTACCTAGAATTCTGCCCATTATTCTGTTTGGAGAGGTGGGAGTATTAAGTGAGCCTCCTCTGAAAGTTATCAATGAAATTTAGGGGAGTCCCTTAATCCTCATCATATGCTGTAGAGCAGAGATTGCAGAAGAAGGTAGATCAGAAATGAATAAGTTTAGAGTGTTTGCCTTTGTTGATAAACACATATCTGTTTCCATATCTCTATGACCAAATGCTGAGCAACTTCGGACAGTACAGTCCAAGGAGTAGGCAATATATAAGCTCAATGATTATTCTCTGTGTAACAGATTTCTAACTCTCTGACTCTTGCATGTAGTATGACATCGCTGGACATTCAGGAGATGGCTATAACATTGGCCTAGTGCCAATGAACAAAGTCCCCAAGGACAATAAGCAAAGACTAGAAATTCTGAAGGTAAGTATTCAGTTAAGTCTATATTAGAAAACTCCTGTCAGATTAAAGACTGAAACATTCATTGAAGAAGCAATAGGTAGAAGAAAGAAAATGATTTTCTATTTCACATTCAACCATTAAACAGAGAAAATACCCATCGTGTCCCCAAATCCTTTTCTCTACCATATAACTTTTGCCCAAAGCTAATGCTCTACCACTGGAGACACAGCACCAATTCCAGCTTTTTCTTTGATTAATTGGAGGTAAGAGTCTCACAGAGTTTCCTGCCTGGGCTGGCTTCAAACCATGATCCTCAGATCTCAGCCTCCTGAATAGCTAGGATTACAGGTGTGAGCCACAGGCATCAGGCCCCTACCTATTTTTAGAGTCCTCAGTATTACATTGGAATAATAAATCTCAGTGTTGTACTAGGATTCCATAACCTGCCTCTCTTCATATATCCTACATGTTCTTCTACACGCCTGAAGTAGAAAGAATGACTTTTTAGACTATTTTCTAACTCCAATGTTTCTATTTCTTAGTAATTTCTAATGATAAGTTTAACCTTCTTAAATCTGCAATAGAAACATACATTGTGATTTCAAAACAAATTTCTCCGTTGTTACTAAGTTCATTGTTAAGTATTATAGAATAACTTTGTTTAGTGGAAATTCAACCCATTGCTTATTTTCCTCTTCCTCATATAATATCTATCCTCCGGGGAATACCCTATTTTCTATTTTCCTACATTTTCTTACTTTAAATGGAAGCTTGCGTTTTGAAGCTAAGTGTCCATTGTGATAGTTTTGTAATATTTCCTGTTTCTAACAAAAGTTAAAAAGTTAGTGTGTACTATTGTCACTGCACTGTGCAAATCAAATAGTGATTCTGCATTCTTACTGTCAAAAAAAATCATTATGTTTATGAATGGGAAGTTTCTCACCCATGGCATTTTTGTGCCCTGTCTCTTACCTCCAGACGATGCATGCTCACGCCCAGTTCTGCATGAGTGGGGACCACACACTAGAAGGAACAGAACATGCTATCAAGGAAATTGTCAAAGAAGAAGCTGATGAGTACTTTGTCATAGTCTTGAGTGATGCAAATCTGTCACGATATGGAATACATCCAACCAAGTTTGCCCAAATCCTGACAAGTAACCCTCAAGTAAATGCTTTTGCTATTTTTATTGGATCTTTAGGCGATCAAGCAACCAGGTAAGTGCAGCCACAAGATACAGAAAAGAGAAAATGTATAGCCAATGAGTTCTGTTGCATGCTGTGTCATGGGCTTAGCACCGTGGAGTGAGGTGGGAAGGAAGAACAGAATCTAGAGACATTACCCTCAAGGAGCTTAAAGTCCAGGTGAGCAGATGTGATTCTCTAGCCTATGTTTAGGTTAGCAATTATAATTTTAAGTGAAATGGCTTTTCAGTTTATATTTAAAGTGACAATAAAATAACTAGCAAGTATATTTGTCTGCTAATAAGTTAGACAATATTTTGTATATTTGATACTATAATTATATCAAAGTCTCAAGCTCATTCTAATCAGTTTGTGTTCAAATCATGTTCAAAATAGTAAGCATCAGGCCTAGGAAGGTAGCTCAATGGTAGAGTGCTTGCCTTGCATGCATGAGGCCCTGGATTCAATTCCTCAGCACCACACAAGCAACAAAAGCTGGAAATGGCACTGTGGCTCAAATGGTAGAGCTCTAGCCTTGAGCTGAAGAGCTGAGGGACAGCACCCAGGCCCAGAGTTCAGGCCCCATGACCACCAAAAAAAAAAAATAGTAAGCATCCACTATTTTACTAGCATGAGAATTTGTATGTATGTGTTTAGATGTATTATATGCAGACCTACACGTGCAGAGTTACATACATACATACATACATAGGCATGCATTCATGTTTATATATACAGGCATGTATGTATATGTCCATAAACTTATCCCTTCAATAAATGATATACATATAGATATATATATATAGATATAGATATAGATATATCCCTTATAGGGGAGACAGATAGATAGTATGCTAGAAAAATTTATGGTCAAACAGTAAATACCACTGGGAATGATCTGACAGACGAGATCTGGAAGCACTTTCATAACTTAACATCCTAACATTTATCTTTTTGAATTATAAACTGAAAGGGGTTGTGTTTTTTCTCTGCTTAAACTATTTATAACAAGCAGAAAACACATCTCAAAAAAATTGTTTTTAAAAAATAATTTTTTAAAAGTCCCTAATGAGCACACCAAGGGCCTGTGTTTGGTTCAGCACCTCTTTTCCCTGCATACTCTGGTACAGGATTCTGTATCAGGAAGTATTTTGGTATCTTAAGTGCTGGTACCTTTTTCTATTCCCTTACCTTACTTGTAAAATAAAGTTGAGGACAGACATAATTTTATATAATCTTGTCACTGTGTTGCAACAGACTTTGCATTTGTCTTACTTTTATGTGTTAACATTTTGTACCTTCTAGAACTTCCTTGTCCTTCTCTACCCAGACTTTCTTCTACTCTATTCCCAGTATTGGGCACGCAGAAAGCTCAACAAATACTAATTTTACTGAAATGGCTATTTTGTCTTTCTAGTGAACAGATCCTGTTAGAATACTTAAGAAAGGACAATAATACCCTTGTGGTTTCCTAGGAAATGGTCCAACATCTACTGGCAAAAGATATGTTGCAGAATTAGCTGGTGTACTGAGCATGCCAAATCTATGATACTACACAGAATGGCTGACTTTTATTAAATGTCATTCCCAAACCAAACTTTGCTGGCACAATGAAAGCAGGCCTTCTTTTGAATACAACTGTGTCTTACAGTTTTAGTCCTTTCAAAAATGCCTTTGGAGGTGGGCACTGGTGGGGCATGCCTAATCCTAGCTACTCAAGAAGGTGAGATCTAAGGATCCCAGTTTGAAATCAGCTGGGGCAGGAAAGTCCATGATACTCAGATTTCCAATTAACCACACACACACTCTCTCTCTGTCTGTCTGTCTGTCTGTCTGTCTGTCTGTCTGTCTCTCTCTCTCTCTCTCTCTCTCTCTGCTGGAAATGAAACTGTGTCAAGTAATAGAGCGCTGGGCTACCAGGGACAGAAGCCAAGTGCAAGCCCTGGGTCCAGAATTTTTAAAAAAAAAAAAAACTGTTTAGTTCCAAATGATAAACTGGTATTTTAAAAAACTGCCATAAGTCCATACCTCAGTATCATCAAAACAGCAGTTGGATAAGCCAGATTGCATTTTTTATGATGGGAGGAAGGAAGGAAGGAAGGAAAAGAATAGGTTTTGGTAAAAAAAAAAAAAAAAAAAAAAGGGAGAGAAAAGAGAACCACTGGATTTGTCTGGGCAACATTTTTGTTCTTAAGGAAGGAAAAGCATTGGAACTAGTATAGTACGAGGCCAACACATTTTGCCAGGTAAGCTAATGCCAGATGGGTCCCTAGGGCTCTGTTCTAAAAAATCTACCAAGAGACTATGAAGTACCAGGAAATGGAAGTCATAAAGGAAGAACTTTTTTCCCCTTTTCAAATTCAGATTTTTCTCACTGAAAAGACCTTTCTTTCGGATCACTGCATCCCTCTCCCTGTTGCCCTACCAGGCCTTTCGTTGCTTAGTGACAGCCAATTAAATTGCAGGCAAGGTAGTAGAAAGTGTAAAAACTTCCTTTCCTCAGAACCCATTCAGATGCCCTGGTTTTTCCTGGGCCGGAGGTGGAGGAAAGTGCTGATTTGTAATGGTAATTCTCTTTCCCTTGCTCTCCTGGCAGGCTTCAGAGAACTCTACCAGCTGGCCGCTCTTTCATTGCCATGGATACCAAGGACATCCCTCAGATTTTACAACAGATCTTCACCTCTACCATGTTGTCCAGTGTTTAAGAAACACCCTTTGCTCCCCTAATTGACCCCAGGACTTGAAACTGATGGGGGCCGAAGAGCATTCAAAAGAGAAGACATCTCCAAGGCAGACTGTGTCTGAATACAGTATCTGGATAAAGCTGGCATTCCCGGGTCTTCCTACACTTGCTCCATAATCAGAACTCAGAGAAACATCCAAAAGGAGTTTGTGAATGGAAATCTACAACCACTGATGGTTTCCAAGTCCTCAGAGGAAGCAAGGTGACCTGCATTTATAAAAGGTCAGGCTAAAGGAAGATGGTATAAGAATGACACGGTTTGGTCAGTTTCCAAAATCTGAAGAATATCTGGTTTTTGCCTTAAGGCATTATTTGTTGCCTAAGATAAGAAAGCAATCCAGGCAAACCAAGCGTTGGAGGCCACTTTTGGACACTAAGGAACATATGCACACACTCTACCCAGCATGCTCCAGTCTACAGTTATTTTTTATTTTCTCCCCCTCTGTATTGCCTAGGAAACAATGAGGTTACAGTATTTACTCCATTGAAAAGTCCTTCCAGCAGCAGTATTTTACAAAAGGTTGGATTTTCTCAATAATTCAGTCTCTTGACCAAAGCCAAAAAGAATCAGATGTTTAGAGTACTTGCTTTTCTATGTGACTTTTAAGAGGCTTATCACATAGTAAAAAGCAAACATGGAGTGGAAGAGTATAGACAACTTATCTCGGCTCTCCTAGTTCCTGCCCTGCCAGCACTTCTCAAAACTTACACAGAATTACACTTTGGTGTCCAAAAATAGGGCTCAACATAGCAAATGTTAGTAAGAGAAATTATTTTTGAGATCATTCATATAAAAATTACTTAACACCAAGTAAAAGAACCTGAATCAACTGGAGATTGAAGATTTCTTAGCTGTAAACAAATTTAAAAAACTCTTTTTCAAGCCCAGTCCTTTTTTTCTCTGTAAGTATACCTCATTCCCTCCCCCTTGGGCTGACTTTCATCAGTGGGCAAGATCATCACATCTCTAAAATCAAAAGCTGCAGCAAAACTTAGTCTCTCTCCCAACCATAGGATGAAATCATCTTCACCATTGCCGGCAAAGTCAAAAATGCTGTGGGCACCACTGCAGGTGTACTTTTTATTGTGAGTCAGAAAAACTAATCTTGCTAATAATGTGAATGTATTAATCCATGTACATTGAAATTGAATAGGTCCATAATTTTATTTTAATTAACTCTAGGACAAAAGAAAACGTTCATTTGTTCTACTACCACATCTCCCTCTCAATTATCAAAGAAATAAAAGTAATCAAACTTCAATATGGTATTCTTACCCAATGAATTTGCATACTTTGTCTTGTTTTTCTAGCTACACATTCTGTTTGCTCTGTGTATTGAATCACCCAATGATGCAAATTATTTCAAGCCATTTAGTACCTTTAAAAATGTTATTGCATCATTAATAAGAGCTTGAATTTACTGATCATTTATTCTGCATCTGTAATATGCTAACAGATCTCATATATTATTACATTCGGTTTTCATAACAATGTTTGTTAGAAAGGTTGTTTTATTTTTAACCTTACATTACAGATAAAGTGAGGCTCAGAGAACTTGCCACTTTCCAGGATTCCTGTTAAAATTTGACTAAGCGTTATACTATTAACATTCTTACTTCCGTTTTAAATGAAGACACAGGGGCTTAGAGGAGCACAGGAAAATCAGTCCGCCACTAACCAGCAAGCAGAGACAGGCTGATGGCTGAGGACCCCTCTCACCCACTCTTCCCACACCCCACGCTGCTCCCTGCACACCTACATGTTGCCCTCTGAGGGCTTTGTTCTTGTTTCTTCCAGGTTAATTACTTTTCCTGTACCCTGTCCACATGTTTGGGGCCTCTTCCTCTCCCTTGTCCTGAGCAGCTGTATCTGCACACATTCAGGCACTCAGAGCTGTGGGGACCAGGACATGAGACACTGCATGAGACACGGGAGTGAACTGAAAAAATGCCCATCCTACTGGCAGCTAAGCTCCAAAGGGCACCCTTTGAGAGTGGGCTGCTGACCTGAAAGCCTTTGGAACCAAATTCAAAAAGGATTCGAAAAACAGGCTTCTAGAAAATCCTCCCAATGCATAACTACCTGAGGACACAAAAACTTTTTTTTAAGGAAAGAATGTTCTCAAGTAATTTAATTTCCCTTTCTCAACTAGCCAGACATCCTTTTGATACACACACACACACACACACACTATCATGGCTTTTGTTATTTGCAAAAGAGAAGGGTGATGACAGAAGAGAGGTAGGGGAAAGGGAGAAGATGGTTTCTTCTTCTGTCTTGCAGTACCGAAGGAATGTATGCATTTATTATTAAATGTGCATTATTATAGACCACCCTAGGCTGTTCCCAAGCCCCTCTGAGGACCAGGATGTATAATAAATACATTGATTGTGTGCCTGGGGGGAGGGGAGATGAAAGACACATGAACCCCATCTCTGTAATGAGCACATGTAACACTGAGAAGGTTCATTGTTTCCCCCTGAGCAGTCAGGAGGAGTGAAAGCTGTAAGCAGCCACAGATTACGATGTGTGTTCCCCTGGAATCCTTTCTGTGCCCCAACAAGATGACCTCATCCCAGATGGGGTGGCTGGAACAAACCACAAGAAGTGGGTCAGAGTGGGAGGATTTGAAGGGAACCCATCAGATGTTTGGAATGAATCATTTAATTCTTTATACTACCCTCTTTCTCGTGAACCTTCAGAGGAGGAGAAATCCATCAATGCCAGCACGATTTTCTCTAAACAAACTCTAGGGCTTTGAACGCCATTTAGAAGTGGTTTTCTAAGCACACTGTGGTCAGAGTTCCTGAAAGGCCAGCTTGCAGGCTTTAGCCCCTGCAGCTCCCCGTGCACCTGGCTCCTTCCTGTGCCTGTCAGATCAGCCAAAATGAAATTCCTCATCACGCACAGAAGAGACCGGGGATGAGGGAAATAGTAGTCAACAATTGCTTGTTTGTCAAATTTCTATTTGTCTCTAATCATCACAATTATAGAAGACATTCCACAAATTCTCAACTAGCCTCTCCTGCCTGGACAGCTTTAATCAAAACCTGCATCTTTGGAATTGTTAGATGTCCACTTGTCCTTGGTAACCTTTGCATAACTTTTTATCTTCTTAAGAAATGAAACATCCTTTTTTTTTTTTTTTGGTGCTAAGGTTTGAACTCATGGTCTCTTACTTGCTAAGCTAGAGCTCTATCACTTGAGCCATTTTTGCTCATTGGTTATTTTTTGTTTTTTTGTCAGTCATGGGGCTTGAACTGTGGGCCTGGGCACTGTCCCTGAGCTCTTTAGCTCAAGGCAAGCACTCTGCCACTTGAGCCACAGCACCACTTCCAGTTTTCTGGCAATTTAGTGGAGCTAAGAGTCTCAGAGACTTTCTTGCTCAGGCTGGCTTTGAACCTCAATCCTCAGATTCAGCCTCCTGAGTAGCTAGGATTACAGGTGTGAGCTACCAGTCCCCGGCTGAAACATCCAATCTTTTTAAATATAGATTTCCTACCACTCACCATACTCCCCACATCATACGGGGATCTGAACTGGCTAGACTGCCCTTCTACCTCTTGAGCCACACCTGTTTATTTGATGATTAGTTTTAAGATAGAATCTACCCAGAATGGCCCAAACCACAAACCTTCCACTTTCAGCCCATAGTTAGGATTATAGATATGAGCCCCTCACACTTGTACATACATAGCTTTAAAGAAAAATACTTAGATGAGCCAAGTACCTGGATCTCATGTATCTGCAATTTCAGCTACTCAGGAGGCTGAGATTCTGAGGATCAATGCTGAAAGCCAGCCTTAGCAGACAAATCTTCGACGTGTGTGTGTGTGTGTGTGTGTGTGTGTGTGTGTGTGTGTGTTTGCTGCTGGTCCTGGGACTTGAACTCTGAGCCTGGTTACTGTCCCTAAGCTTTCATACTCAAGGCTATTTTTTTTTACCTCTTGAGCCAGCTCCACTTCTGAGACCTTTATATTTAGCCAGCAAAAGTCCAGGAAGAGGAGGCAAGGCTCAAGTGGTAGAATGCCAGCTAGTTCAAACCCCAATACCACACAAAAATAAATAAAATTTAAGCTTTAGAAGAAAAATTCAATTTCTTCTCAAGGTTGTATCATAAGTTCTACATTGCCTTTAATTTTTTCCCCTCTTAAGGTTAGCTGTGGAAAAACTACCACCCATAATGACAGACTCTAGCATTAGCCTGTAGAAAGTTCTAGACCTTACTCAGCTATTAACTACCTGTATGTACTTGAGCTAGTCATTTCTGAGTCTCAAGTAAGTTAAATCTATGACAATATGGCTGGAGAAAGAAATTCTTAATGCTGAAGTCTTGCACCCAGTATCATTTATAAGGGAACTGAGTTTGTGTCTCTTGAAACTCCTAAGACCCCTGGGTCTTAGCTTTTCATTTCTTTTTTGAAACTGGGTCTTGCTTTGTAGAGCAGGCTGGCCTGGATCCTCCAGCCCTCTGCCTCCAGTGTGCTGGTGTAGTCTACAACACTATCCTGACTCAGTGTGACTTTCGTGTCCAGAGCCCCACACACATGTAGCCCCAATCTCGGGCCTCAGAAGACTAGCTATATAAGGAGTGTTACTGGCCAAAGATGTATCCTAAAGAAGCTTTCCCTCAACAGCTACACAGATATTTTATAAGATTGTTGTTTGATGTGTCATAATTTACTCCCTTCAAATAAAATTCTCTATCTGCTGATCTGCACAGTGAGATGCAAAAAGGATCAGGAATTGGAAAACTACTGTGGGCCAAGAGCTGACCTTTGTACCAGAGGTAAACAATGCTGTGTGTGTGTGTGTGTGCGTGTGTGCATGTGTGTGTGTGTGTGTGTGTGTGTGTGTGAAAATGCTTGCCAAGCAAACCTCCAGTTGAGAATGATCTGACACTCTGGAGCCAGAGCGCTATCTGGGCTCTCACCTTCAAACAGAGACCGCATGTGTTCTTGCTTGGCTGAGCACGTTGGCATTGGAATGCCAAGAGTTGCATAATTTCAAATTTGAGTAGTGCTTGTGGTATTTGGCCACTCAGAGCAAAGTAGAACACTCTTTTAAAGTGGTTTGAATCCAGAGGGTGGCAAGAATGGCATGTCCTGCTCTAAGAAATCTCATGAAGGAGACACGAGCCATCTGGTATGGTCCTCTCCCCCTTACTCCAGATGCCACACACCTTGAGTCTCCTGTGTCAACCAGCCATTACCCTGAAGGAACAGAGTGTGTCCCTAAACCCAGATTCCAGAGATGTGGATGCAACTGAGAGGAGTTACGAAGGTAAGGACTTATTCAATTTAAGCAGGACACTGAATCATTGGTGACAGTAACTTCAGTTGGCTAGAGAAAGGAAGGAACATTTCTGAATATCCTAAAGCAGACTTCCTCCTAATAGAGGCCCAAATATTACAAAATACCTGAACTTGAACCTGTCAGTAATCCATCTCACAGCATCATGGCTATACATGAAATCCTACTTATTGAAACTCAAAGAAAAATAAGTATATCTACTCAGCATATTAAAGTTGAATTTTTCACATGCAGCATATTTATATTGATAAACCCTGATGTGAATGATGCCAACCACTTTTTCATCCCAGCAATAACTAAATCTTCTATTATGGAGTCCAAAAATAGAGTCTCACAAAGTTAGTTGGTCCATATATAAAAGTTTTATGACCAACTAGATGCTAGTGGCTCATGCCTATTATTCTAGCCACTCAGGAGGTAAAGATCTGAGGATTGCAGTTCAAAGCCAGTCAGTCAGGAAAGTCCATAACAATCTTACCTCCAATTAACCAGTAAAAAGCTGGAAGTAAAGGTATGGTTCAAGTGATAGAGCATTAGCTTTGAGCAGAAAAGGTCATGGACAGTGCCTGGGCCCTGAGTTCAGGCCCCAAGACAGACATAGTTTATGATTCACATGAAATTCAGCCCTGAATGGATTAGGAACAATGGGTGACAATATTGTCAGACATCTTGTATTCATATACAGTTTTGTAGACTGGGAACTTATTTGTACAACTACTTAAAGATTATATAGAGAGAGATGTATCCAGAGAGAGAGAGAGAGAGATTCAGTCCTGAAAATACTGAGCTAGTTAAGAGTAATTCTGCCCAGGACAGGTAGAAATTACACCACCAACCTGGACCAGCAGCCTGCCAGCGGTGGCCTCACCCTGAGGATGGTTCTACCAGAGCTCAAGGTTACTGGGGCACCAGGGACCAGTGCAGGTTCCAGGGAGTTTTGCACAGACACAAAAGGGCAAGCCAGGTGCCAATTG